TATAGTCTCTTGCCCTAGCTCTACCCGCAGTCTATGGCTTCCACAAAAAGCCTTTTGTTGAAATGTGGGGCACTCGGGGGCTGGCTTGCTGCCAAGCTCACTTTTTATTTATCAAGCCCTCCCAGCTCTCAGGTGTTAGACTCTTATTACTTGGAAGAAAAAACTTTTTAGGCCAGAAGTTACCGTGGGAGAAGCTGAGAGTTTCCAGTGTATCCCTGAGATAACTAGCCACACCTGAGCAGAGCCTTAACCCGCCAGATCCCTGGCCTGGGTGGGGCAGCACAGTCAGGGGGTCCCACCTGGGTCCCTGAGTCAGGCCAGGTTGAGAGCTATCCCTCAGGGCTTTGCATGTGCTTCCTTGCCTGACCCTAAAATATCCTAAATGCCCATGGGAATAACATCAAAGGCCTCTACCTGCCCAGTGCATTGTTCGCAGCCTCTACAGGAGGCAGGAACCAGGAACCAGGGCAAGACCTTTCTTTTCTCCCCTCTTCCCTACACCCCCGTCATCTGTTCCCTTGTTTCAGAGCACGGTAAACTTATGGAACTCTGTCTCAGAGTCAACAGTGGCCACCGGGAAGTGGAGGGGCTGGACAGAGAATTTGGGGATGGGGATGAGGCCACAACCGACAGGGAGAGTGGGAAGGTAGAACCTGAGCCCTGGCCATGCGCTGACTACTGGAAGATCATAACACCTTTGGGGAATCAGGCGCCTTTCACAAATGCTATAAACGAAGATAACACAAAGGCAGAGGCCACGTAAAACTGGGTGAAGGTGCAGACACCTGGTTTCTGCACTCATCCGAGGCATCTCTGCACTCATCCGAGGCATACCTCTTGAACCCAGAAGGAACTGGGAGGGTTGCTGTAGGAATTAGCTCAAACCACAGCAACCAGGCCCTTAGAGTCCCCATGATCTCATCTCTCCTGAGTAACCACGGGGCTGCTGGAGTCCTCCACCTGCCATATACTTAGCCTTTCTGGTAGGTCGTGTTCCCGTACCATGGATGAAGACTGAGAGGCATGCTGTTTGCCCAAGGCCTTGCAATTAGAAAAGCTGCAAAGACAGTAACAAAATTCAGCCTACCCAATCCCCTTCTAGATGCTGGGAAGAAACATTCTTTGGGCTCCAGTAGGACGTGGAGAATTGAACACAGCATGCCCGGAAACCACCATTTTTCCTTCAGACTTTTCAACAGATCGGTTTCTTCTAACCCTCAGAGCAGGAGCTGTGGCCACTATGTGTGTGTGGGTATGTGGGGGAACTCTCCCCTGAATAAGTGCAGGAATGTCCTCAGTGAGTCCCCGAGTGCTCCAAGTGAACTCTCACCGGGTGGGTGCAGCATTCCATACTCCAGGTGAGGCGACCAGGCACTCAGGCAGAGCTATTATCAACCACGTGAAATCAACTTAATGGCACCATCCAGGCCATAAAATGACTGCAAAGCGTGGCCTTTGTGTAAGAATCAGCTGAGATACTCAGCCTGAACCTTAAATTCTAACATGCCCATCAGTCAACCTCTACACATGATTTGGGCTCCTGTGTTGAGGAGAAAAACATACACAGCAGGAATACTGCAGCGTTACCGTGAAGCTGGGGGCTCGACTGAGCGAGGCAGTTCAGAGGGGCATTTGGGAATCTTGGGAATAGTACTGACACGGTTCCTAGTACCCGCAGGCTTAGAACCACCTGTAACTGGTGGACCCAACACATCAGTCCACTATGGCCACTGCACTCACAAGTACCCTACACACACACACACACACACACACACACACACACACACACACTTTAAAAACTAAAAAAAAGTCTTTAAAAAATCTCTAAATATGGCTCCATGTAGAGCAACTTGCCTAGTATAAATAAGGCTCTGAGATTGTTATCCAGTATTGCAAAATAAATTAAATATTAAATTAAATAAAATATTAAGTAAATGAGCCAGCAGCCCTAGCGTTTTGGAAGGCTAAGGCAGGAGGGTTACTTGAGCCTGTTACCTATAAGCTCCAGATCTGCCCATGAGAGCGCATCTCAAAAACTAAACTCAGCTCCTACACTGATGGAAAGCCGGCCCAGGCTTCCCCTCTACTGAGACTGCTCACAGCGGTCTTCAAGGCCCCAGACAAGCTGGCAGCCTTTCCCTCCTCCCGCTGCCCTGAGCCCCAGTGTGCCTGCTCTGCTGGGATTTGCTCTCCAGTCTCGTTTTGTGTCCCATGTGCGGTTCTCTTCTTTTCTACTGTCTTCGTCCCTTGGCCACCTATCACAGCCACCCTGGCCTCCTGCTGTTTTCCGAAGACACCCATCTCAGAGTTCCTGTGCTTGCTATTTTTTAGTTAAGTTAATGTGTATGGGTGTTTGGCCTGCATGTATGCTGGCCCCAGGTGCGTGTCTGGTGCTGGCAGAGGCTGGAGGGGGGCATCGGAGCCCCTGAAACAAGTTATAGACACTTAGGAGCTGCCATACAGGAACGGAATCTGGGACCTCTGCTGAACCATCTCTCGCCCCCTTGCTGTTTCTTAAGGCTTATTTTTATTTTATTTATGTGTATGTGTCTATGTGTATCTACCATTGGTGTGCTGGTGCCTGAAGAGGCCAGAAGAGGGTGTCCAGTCCTCTGGATCTGAAACCCATAGTTCTGATTTGCCCAGATCAAGTGCTGGGAACTGAACTCTGCTTTGGATCCTTAGGAAGAGCAGCCAGTACGAAGCTATTTCCTTAGCCTCCGCACTGCTGTTGTCTCTGCCTGAGGTGCTCTTCTCTTCTTCTCCCAGGTATTATAAAACCTGCCCTCGGCGCCTCTGCTGTGCATCCTCATTCTCCTTCCCTTGACTTAGTGGCTCAACCCAGAGGAAGGGGAAACGGTGCTGTGGAATCCTAGAGGCTGCTGCGTGAAGGGCCCAGCTCTCTTGGGCATGGCTCCCGCAGAGACACCCAACTGCCCCATGGTGAGGACATTCTTGCAGTCTGGAGAAAGGGGTGGGAGCCACACTGAAGCTGCTGCTCCAGACCTAGCCACACATACAGATACCTGCCACTCTGGCTCGCACTGTGACTGCAGCCTTGCGAGAGACCCCCAAACCGGAACCACCCAGCTAAGCCACTCCCAGAAACTGACCGCTTTCATGACCTTCAGAACTGTGGGAGACAGTAAGTCTATTGTTTCCAGTGTGTATGTTTGGGGGCTGTTTGTTATACAATAAAAGACAGTGCATGGCTTCCTCATTCCCAACAAGTTTGTGCTCCGGCGCCGCCTGTACAGACACCTCCACTGCTCACCCCATTAAGAGCAGCCCTCCTCCATGCATTCTTCCTCTTAGCTTTCTAAACCTTTGTCTCCCCACTGAATTCTATAAGCCCTCTGTAAATATTTGCTGGGTGAATAAATGAATGCTCACCTCTGCTTTATTCCCCTGTACTCTGGGATTGCATGGATCTGAGGTATATCCAAGTTTTGTTTTGTACTGTTTTGTTTTCTGAGATCAAGTCTCATTATGTAGACCAGGTTAACCTGGAACTTGCTTTGTAGCCCAGGCTATCCTTGAATTCAGGATCCTCAGCTCCCAAGGGCTAGGATTATAGGCCTTTGCTCCTGTGTCTTGCTTCAACCAGTTCTAAAATCTTGTTTTGATGCTGTTTTTCTAAGGGTCTGTCTGGATGTACCTCTTCTTACTGACTAAAGCCTGGGGAGGACTGTCAGTTTTGGATCGTGCAGCCTTTCTCCCAAGACCAGGCCTGATCTAAAGACAAGCACCTTGAAGTCATACCTGACAAACCAATGGTTTCCAAGGCTTTGATTTAGTCAAGCGGGCTCCAAAAGACACAAACAGTGGCTATCCCCAGGGGGAGCTAATCTGATTGTCCTTGGTGCCAGGACATTCAAGTCTGTCATGGGTGGCGAGCCCAAAGTCATGTGGCACCAGAGGGGCAGCTGTATCAACAGACCCCTTGCAGGCTCATATAGGACTCAGCCAGAGGCTGACTTTCACGTAAGGCAGAAGAGAAGAATGAGTGGGCAATGGGCATGGAACCCTTATGTACAGTGGAGAGCTGTTAGCAGGCCTGGGCCAGAGGGGGCTAATCCCGGGTGAGGGCCTGAGTTCTTAGAAAGCCCAGGGCTGGCCCTCATTGTGCAATAACCACTGGTAGTTCTCTGCCCATTCCAGAGGATGACTGGTATATCTTGACACTTTGACCAAGATAGCCCCACCCAAGACATGGATGACTGCAATGTCCTTGGGATAGTTCCTTTATTGATCTATACAGGTCCCTCCCTGGCATCACAAGACTATGTAATAAAAGCATTTTCCAAGATCTGGGTGACAGGTGAACTCAGGGAAGAACACTGAGCTTTTGGTACATCTGGCTGCTTGTCTCCTGCAAGCACATGCAGTGGTCAGTCACCTCTGGGCTTCAGTTCCTTCCCTGAAGCAAATGGTGGTGTGAGATACTTTCCCAGGGAGCTGGAGACACACAGTAGGGAAGCATGGGCTGCAGGTGTAAGGCAGGAACTTCCCAGAGTCAGTTGGGTGCTGAGTGCTGGTATTAGCCATTATGTAAGACTGCCTTGTTAGAGAGACTCAGTGCTCAGAGCACCCTGGCTATGACAAAGCCCACATCTGGCTCATTAGACAAGTGCTCCCCCCCGCCCGCCCCTCCCCGCCAGTGGCTGTGAGTTTCCCCTGCAAATGCCCGATTCACCCTCTCTGTTCCACCAGCCCCAAACCCGAGTAACTCTCCATCCCTCTTAACCCCACAAACCTGAGTAACTCTCCATCCCTCTTAGCCCCACACCGTGACTCATTTCTTCACCTCTTCTAACTCATTTATCAGGAAGCTAGCAAGAATGGATGGGCTTTCAAAGAGACAGGAAGTTAAAAAAAAAGGCATGGTTGGGAAAGTCCCCAGAACTCTGGGTGACTCTGTGTCTGGGTCCAGAGCACACTGGACTCACTTCTCACAAGTGGCCTGACCTCTGGTGTGGAAACTAGCACAGTTGGATACTTGTCAAATGTCACGGGGCAGGTTACAAATAGCATGGGGATTAGCAACCCCATCAGCAACTCGTGTTCAAGGGCAGGGAAAGTTAACAGTTTAATCCCTGGAGCACCAGGAAGGGTGTTTTATGGCAAAGGAGGTCTGTGTGCACATACATATATGACCAGGACTGGACAGGGGTGGCATACTACAGAACTCGATGTGTGATCCACTTCAGTCTGGGAGCAAGAGTGAATGCTCGCTCTCTAGCCAGCCCAGGTGTTCCCACATCCTGTTGTTGAAAGCTCCCTGTTGGGCTCTAGTTCCAGTGACCCTCCTGTCAAGATCTCAGAGCAGTAGACGGTCCACCTGCCTTCTGGACTGCGGACGGTGGGGATCCGGCTCAGCCTCGGACTCGAATAGTGTCCTCGGCTTTCTCTGTTGATTTGCCCGAGCTCAACTCTAGCCCAGCTCAGCTCTCCTGCAATCCCGGGAGCTCTGCGTCTAGGCTGCAAAGGGACCGGCTCCCCTCCCAGCTGCCCGCCACGCGGCCGGCCCGAGCTGCCAGGGGGACAATCTCAACTCCCTGGTACCCCCAGCTTGGTGGAGCGTGCCAGTCTGCCTCCCCACTCCCCTCTTCCCTTGCGTGCACCCCCTAGTCTTACCGCCTCTAGTTCTGCGCTCGGGCGCCCAGCGCCCAGGCCCCAGGAGGGCAGCACCCGGCGACGGCCAGCTCCCACCGGTCAGCCCTGCCTTGCCCCGCCCGGCCGCCGTGCCCGCGGACCCGGCACCGCCTGGCCCTGTGCACAGGCAGGCGGCCCGCCCTCCGCGCCCGGACGCGCAAAGGGTGTGCGTGGAAGCCAGGCGTGCAGCGGAGAGTTCCAGGACAAGCTCAGGTAAGCAGCACCCAGAGAACTGCGGCAACTCCCTGTAAAGACATTCGCTTCTCCTGGCCTGGCTTTGCCAACTCTTCTGAGCTTTGGAAGCAGAGAGATGCTGTTGATTCGGAGCTGGCTTTTGAAAAAAAACAAAGCAGTGTTTATGAGAGGATTTGGTTTTGCGGGGCTGGCTTTGGAAACACTTTAAGGTAGAAAAGTTGCGGTTTCTTAGGTAATTTTCCATCTAGGTGGGTGTCCCTGAGTGTCCATGATTTGAGCGCACCGAAGGGGGTGGCTGAGTTGATTCCCACCTTAATTTGGATTGGGAACTAACATATGTGCTAGGTCCCGGGGAAAGATACTACAGATCTAGCTTGGGGCTTCTTCTATTTATACTGATGGTGTTTGGGAACTTGCCTTAAGAGTTGAAGCCTGCTGCTTGCTGCAAAGCTGGAGACAGCAGCAGTATAGTGAGTTCCTTACAGAACTTGAACTTGAGGCAGTCCTTAACCTGGGAGCGCAGCAGTAAGATTATGTGATTCAGGCGAAGATGTGTTTTAAATTAGTGCTATGCTTAAGTCTTCGATATTAACAACATCTTCATGGAAAGTGGCTTTTCCAAGATGGCGCTTTCTTCATCTGTTTCCTTTTGTTTTTCTCCACTTCTTTTTGGTTCTATTGCACTTTCCCCTGGAAAAGCACTTCCTATGGTGGCATCAACTGGTTACTTTCTTTTCCCAAACTCACCTTATGAATGGCAAAGCACGTTTTAAAAAATACAAATTGCTTACTTTTATTCATGTGCATTGTATTTTTGCCTGCATGTATGTTCATATGAGGGTGTTGGATACCCTAGAACTGGAGTTACAGACAGTTGTGAGCTGTCATGTGGGTGCTGGGAATTGAACCCAGGTCCTCTGGAAGAGCAGCCAGTGCTCTTAACCACTGAGCCATCTTCCCTGCCCCATGCTTTGAAGTTTTCTCTTTTGGATATGTCCTTCCTGACTTTGGATTGCGTTTGTGAGTGGTACCAGTAAGGGCTCTTGCTCCCATTCCTCCAAGTGAAACAAAATTGCTGGTTCAAAGACCAACGCTGTGTGAACCAGCATGCCCTTTAACCACTGCTTTTGTTTTGAGATGAGGTCTCTCTATTACACAGCTCTCTGACTGTCCTGGAACTCACTATGTAAACCAGGATGACCTTGAACTGAGAGATTCCCTTACTGCCTCCCAAGTGATGGGATTAAAAGCGTACACTACATGTCCAGCTAGTATGAGTATAAAATATTCTTGATGTACTGACCTTTGGTGGTTTTGTGAAAGGTGTTTTCCCACTTTATGTTTTTCTAGCAAGTTTTGCTAGCCTTTAGTGCTTTGTAATTACTTGCTCTTCAACTCGTCCAAGTCTCTGTGGAAGTGGGTGGCACTGTGGAGGAGGGCGACTGTTGGCCACCTGCCTTGGCCTGTCCACCTACCTGAGGGCATTGTCTACCTCCACAATGGGGCTGGACTTGACCTGTCGTGCTAGATTCTCCCGGGTCACGCCGGGTCCAGAAACGCCAGTGTATCTTGAGAACCCTAGAATCACATTTTGACAGAATTAACTTGAAAGTCCACGAACCCACTGTCTTTCTGAACTACACTTCCTTCCTGTTGGAACTGCTGGCTTTGGGTCATGTGTCAATGCAGCCTTAGGATAAAGTGAGAAGTGAAAAGTTGCTGGTCTAAAATGGGAAGAGGAAAGTTAGTTATCAGACAAAGATTTACCAATATTCTCCGAGTAGTTCTGACATGATTTCAGAAATTATCCCCTTATCTGCCACTATTATTATTATTATTAGCCTGGAGACGTGAGTTTATAAGACTCAGAACAGGAAAAGCCATAGCCAGTCATTTTATTTATTTTTAAAAAGATTTCCTTATCTCAGAAGCTTGGTAATTGAGTTCCCTCTTTTTTTTAATATATATTCATGACATTACCATTTGGGAGTCTTTGAATGCCAGTTCTCCTGACTCATAGGCCAAGTCATTTGTTCTACAGCAGACCAATTTGCATGACATTCTGCCTCCTCACAGGTCACCCTTCTGTGATTTCTGCAAGAGATCAGAGCTGGTCGCAGATACCTGTATCTAGTGTAATTGTGCATTTATTATTGTTTGCAGAGTCTGAAACTGCAGAAGAGAAGGAGACACATTTCACCTTCCCGTCGGAAGCCTTTTCTCTTCTGGCCATGTCTTCCGTAGGAACTGCTGAACCAGATGGGGACCAGAGGGACAGACATGTCAGCAAGCTCATTTTCTTCCTCTTCATCTTTGGTGCAGTCCTGATGTGTGTGGGAGTCTTGCTCTCCATCTTTGGCTACCAGGCATGCCAATATAGGCCCCTTTCACACTGCAGCATGGTGCTAAAGATTGCCGGGCCCTCATGTGCAGTGGTGGGTCTTGGTGTTGTGATTCTGGCCCGCTCCCGGGCACGCCTGCACCTGCGGGAGGGACAGCGGCGAGGCCACCAGGACCCTGACCAATCCTTCGTCTGTGGAGAGAGCCGCCAGTTTGCCCAGTGCCTCATCTTTGGGTTCTTGTTCCTGATCAGTGGCATGCTCATCAGCGTCCTGGGCATTTGGGTGCCTGGATGTGGCTCAGACTGGGAACAGGAGCCACTGAATGAGACAGACACTGGAGAGGCAGAGACCCAGATCTGTGGCTTCCTGTCTCTGCAGATCATGGGGCCCTTGATTGTGCTTGTGGGACTGTGTTTCTTTGTGGTGGCCCATGTTAAGAAGAAAAACAACTTGAGTTCAAGCCGAGATGCCTCTGAAATGGAAGGGGGGCACATTCACAGTATGGAGCCTGTCCACATCACTGTAGGTGAGTGTTGGTCACTTGTTCAGGTCATAGTGGATGTTGCCTCTCACCAGGCTTCCCTAGTTCTTTTTCTCAATACAACTCCTCTCTGTCTGATATGTGTACAATACCTGATCACAGAGATAACCCACCACACACACACACACACACACACACACACACACACACCCATCCCTGTGGCATGCCTTGTGGGAATTCTCCCATCCCCAGCAACACTATTATCATAGTGGTTCTCAAGCTCCCTAATGCTGCAACCCTTTAATACAGATCCCCATATTGTGGTGACCCCCAACCATAAAATTATTTCTTTACTACTTCATAACGATAATTTTGCTACTGTTATGAATCATAATGCAAATATCTGTGTTTTCCAATGGTCTTAGGTGATCCCTGTGGAAGGGTCCTTCAACCCCAAAGGGTCACGACCCACAGGAACTGAAGAGCAGATAGATTTGTGGACTGTACTGTCCTAAACTAAACACTCTGGTTGGTGTATTTGTGTATATAAATGTTTATAGTGACAACACAAGTATAATAGCTGGCACTCACCGAGGATCTGATCCTGCCACTCCCCCAGGGGGTTAAAGAGCTTATTATCTAAGATTCAGTCATCCTTAAAGTGACTGATCAAGGCAGATATACCATCTCCATGTGAAAAGCAGACTGTAAGATGGTCTGCCCTGTGGGCTTACATCGGGTTTGTTACACTACCCATAGAGTTAAAGTGAGCATCATTTCTAGTACCTAGACCTATTAAAATCTTCCTTTTTTTAAACCTATTTGTTTATTTAGAGACATAGTCTCACTCTGCAGCACCGGCTGTCCTTGGACTCACAATGTAAACCAGGCTAGCCTTAAACTCAGGCATGAAGGTTTTGCTCTGTGTGAGGTGGCACTTTAACACTGGACAGACGTGGCCACATCCTGTCTTTTTTGTCCTCCAAGACAGGTGCTGTTCAGTTATAGCTGGCAGCTGTGACAGCTGAGGCTAAGGAATTCTGAGTTTGCTCAGGGCTACACTGTCTTGGTCCCTGGCAAATGGTTTTTAAAAGTCATGCCACTAGTGTGTAATGTGAGTTTTCTCTGGCCCAGCTAGGCCCCGTGGCCCTTCTCTGCCTCAAAGAAACACACAGATGCTATATTTGTTATTAAGCTGTTGGCTGTTTTCTGAGGTTTCTTATTTGCTAGCTCAGTCTTAATATTATTAACCCATGACTACTAATCTATATATTTTTACAAGGACTTATCTTACCGAGTTCACCAGCCTCATGTGTCCTCTTTTCCCAGGATCACATGGCGACTCAACTCTTTACTACATTTCCCAGAATCCTCCTTGACTCATAGTCCCACCTATCTTGTTTCCATATTGGCCAACAGTGCTTTATTTATCAACCAATAACACAAACATGCACACAGAAGTACTTCCCCCATCACTAGTGTGAGCTGGTCACCTCCCTACAAGGAAGTAGCTTTCTCTTTCCTACATCTTCCTGTCACTGTCACCTGGTAGTGCCAGCCTATCAGAGTCCTCTGATAGCAGAGCTACTACCTGTCTGGAACATTCTGGGCAATAGTCATGGCGCCATGCATTGGAGTCCTAGAGGACTGGAATAGTACACAAATTAGAGCTTGTTTCTGGCCCCTTGTTCCTCTTTCTCAGAATAAAGAGGTGTGTTCTAGAGTGGACAGAGATACAAAACCAAGCTTTTAAAAGTTTGACTGCACCCATGCAGCTGGGGCAAAGGTGGGGCACAGTGTGGCATATTGCCATGTGTGCAGAGTACTTACTATATTTGAGCAATTCTGCACTTTATCCAGCAGCTGGATTTTGATGAGTTAAGATTATCACTAGAAAGCATGAAAACCTGTCTCAATGGAAGACATCCCTGGGAAGTTGAGGGAGCGTGCTATTGACTCTCACAGATGTGTTAGCTCAGGTGTGCTTGATAGAGACCGACTCTACATTGCCAAAAGAGAATTCAAGGCTCTGAATTACAGGCCAATTTAGAAATGTGATAATCTATATGTACCCCAAAACTTACTATTTCAGGATCAGGTGTAGTGACACATTTTTTTAAACCCAGCACTCAAGAGGCAGAGGTAGACAGATCTCTGAAAGTTTGAGGCCAGCCTGGTCTATATATCAAACTCTGGGCCAGCTAGAGCTACATAGTGAGACCCTGTCTCAAAACAACAACAACAACAAAAAACAAAACAAAAAAACAGAAAAACAAAACAAAACAAAACAAAAAACCCCCCAAAACTTCCTGGCTTAACCATTTTTAGCTCTCACTTACTTTTGTGTTGTGTGAGCGTGTGTGCGCCTTCATGTGTGCTCACATGTGTGTGGAAGAGGGCTGGATGTTGATGTTGGGTGTCTTCCTCAGTCACATTGCCTCTTATTTTCTTTGAGATAGGGATTCCAACTGCCACTAAAGGTTTGTGATTTGTCTAGGCTGGCTAACCAACAAACCCTGAGGACCCTCCAGTTTATACTTCCCCAAAGCTGGGGTTACAGGCACATGCCACTCTGCCCAGAGACTTACATGGCTGTGGGGCTTTGAACTCAGGTCCTCCTAATTGTGAGGCTAGTCCTGTACTGACTGAGCCGTCCGTCTCCCCAGCCCTACTTTAATTGTTTCAAATATACAGTATATACTGTTTAGATAAACACTATTTATACCTATATTTGCATATCTATGTAATATACAGTATATACAATGTAATGTTATTAAATATAGCCAAAATATTGTAATACTGCCATCACCATCAGCTTCCAGAATCATCCCCTCATCCCAAACGGACATACCTGTTAAACAGTGGTTCAACCCCTCCCTCCCAACCGCAACCGAACATGGAAGTGTCACAGGCCTGTCTTTACAGAGTGCACAGGGCTGTTTTGATCTTTTATGGGGGTGCAAGATAGAAGTCATTAATTTTGTTTTTCTCTAACGTGTTGCTATGTGTTTCCACAGGTGACTCCGTGATAATATTCCCGCCCCCTCCACCCCCTTACTTTCCTGAGTCTTCAGCAGGAACTCGACCTTCTGGGCCCAACAGCTTGCACCACACTGAAAACCCACCTTCCTATTGCAGTCTTTTTAACTACGGGTAAGAATTCCCCTTCCCGACCACTCTAGCTTTAAACAGTATCTGATGGTATGTCAAGAGTTCCCGCCTTGATGCTCACTCTCAGCCAGGAAACCTTGGGTAACTCATAGGTGGAGTGATGAAGGGTTGCTAGGAAACCTCTGAGTGTCTTTATTGTCCCTATAACTACACATCTGTCACACTGACAGCTGCAGAGGCTGGAGGCCTCTGCTCTATTCACTTTGATGCTTCAGATGGCAGAGAGGTTCAGGGCTCCAGGGGACATGCTCAGAAGGATGACAGTGTTCTAATGGAGGAGACCCTGACCCGGCCCAGCTGGGCCTCTCCATCCATATTCGGTTGCCTCTGAGTCTCAGAGTCTGAAGAACAATTGAAGAGAGATAGATGGTCCATGCCTCACTCCACGTCAAAAGCAGAAGTGGATTTTCATGGGACAGGCCTAAGGCAGCAAGAACCCAAGACAGAGAGGGTAAGAGGAAGGCTGGCCTCAAGAAAGAGAGGAGACTCTGACCTCCAGAGTGAGTGACTGGGAGGGTGGTGAAGGACGTCACTCAGGCTAGGAGAGGTTCAGGGCTCGCTGCTGGTGGAGGAACATGACAGCAGACATTCGAGGTAGACTTTCAGAGCTGAGTGTACTGAGAGAGAGAGGCAGTACTGATATGGAGCTCCTAAGGTGTGATAGAAGGTGTTCTGAACAGTGCCAGACAGAGCCCAGGGTGTGTAGCTCCAAGATGCTCACTCTTATGGAGTGGGGGGCACAGGTAGCCTGGTGACAGGGCCAGAGGACACATGCCCTATGTCAAGGTACTGGAAGGAGAGATGTTATTTAGTGAGAGGGAGAAGGAGCTGGCCAGAGGACAGAGCATGCTCATGAGTGTCACATAGACAGCTGGGCACCAGGGTGGTGAATGCAGATCTATAAAACACAATAGGCAAGCGTGATGACGCGCGCCTTTAATCCCAGCACTCGGGGAGCAGAGGCAGGTGGATCTCTGTGAGTGCAAGGCCAGCCTGGTCTACATAATGAGACCCTGTTTCAACAACAATGTAGGATATAGGAGAAACAGCTTCTAGACTGGTCTGAGGCTCCTGGAAACATGACACCTAGAGAAGCCTCGTGCTTCAGGGCTGCCACTGTCCTCACCCTGTCCCCTCACAATCTTGCTTTCTTTCCAGAAGGACCCCAACTCTTGAGAGCCAGGGCGCAGTCTCCGAGAGAGAACAGGAAATCATATACACCATTTCTGGACCTGGTTCGCCCTCTGAGAGCTCACACCCTGGGCATCTTCCACTGGACCTGCCTCCTAGATATGAAGAGAAAGAAACTGCCCTCGCCACACCCTTGGATGCACCTTCTGAGCCGTCCCCACCCTGAATTATGGAGTTTAGTTTTATATATTTCATGGATTTTTTATTTAATTTTTTAATAAAACTACAATAACATTGGGTATGTTCTCATTTTTTTCTGCCATAGAGCCTAGGAAGTAAGTCACATTTCTGACTACAGGGGCTGGGCTGCACCTTCCTGCCAGGCACCAACAGGATTTGCCCATTGAGACCTACAATGCTAGGGGCTGGTGGCCTTGTTTGTACTGATGGATAAGGAACTAGAGGCTAAGGGAGACTGATGGAGTTCTTCAAGGTCACAGGACTTCTAACAAAGAAACTGCTCGTGTGTGTGTGTGTGTGTGTGTGTGTGTGTGTGCGTGGGTGTGTTCGCACACGCGTGCGCGCACGTATGCATGCTCGTGCTCGTGCCCAAGATCAACCTTGGACATTGCTCTTTGGGAGCTGTCCGTCCCCCGTGCTGTTTTGAGATAAGGTCTCTCATTGGTCTGGAACTCATAACATAGGGTAGGCTGGCTGGCCAGTAAGCCTCAGGGAGCCAGCTGTCTGCATGTCTGAGGTTCCAAGGGTGCCGACACCAGCAGCCTCTGCGCGCAGGTCCTGGGGTTGAACTCAGGTCCTCATGCCTGCAGAACAAACACCGCACCGACTGAGCCACTCCCCCACCCTGCCCTTAGCTGGAGAGTCCCGTGCTGCCGAGGCCAGTCAGACTCAGTTAATGTTTAGTTGTGTCTATTCTGTCTCCAGGGCTATTCGCTTCTGGAACCAAGGAATACGATTGGTGTCCAGATTTCTTTACCCTGTTTCCTCCTCATTCCTTTCCTCTCTCTGCCTTGCTCATTTCCCGCTCCCTTTCCCTCCTTCGGGAGCCTTGAGGCCTCATAACACATGGACGGTCTGAAGCCTCTGGATAAACTGGGATGCGAATTCCCTGGAGACTCCTTTCCGCTTTATTTTTGAGACAGGATTTTGCTATGTTGCCCAGGCTAGCTTCGAATTTATGCACCTTACGCCTCAGCCTTCAGAGTTCTACACACCCTGCTAGCCTCAGTGTGATCTAGCATTCAAGTGACCGACCACAGGGTACAGGTGCTGGGCAGGGCAGTTGGTCGGTGGCTCTGACTGGTCACGTGTGAATTACCACCGTGATAAATCAAGGTGACTGTTAGGGCCAGCAGTTCTAAGCTGTTTTCAAATTGGACATTTATTAGGTTGAACCACTCTTAAAGGTCTGTGTTATTCTTCCTCCTGGAAAGTTAATTATTCACATTTTAAAATTAGAACAAAGGATGTATTATCGTTACTTCCTTCTGTGGTTATTTGCTTAAAATGGCCAAGCTTGAAACTGCTACATAGAATTGCTTCAGTTAAGAGTTTTCATTATAATCCAGAACCTATTTTGGTGGCTGAAAGTTGGATTTGTGACTGAGTGTTTTGCTTTTATGTGGTTGTAAAGCTAAGCAAACAGTTAGGAAGGGTCAGGAGTAGGTCTGACCTTGTGGTTATGGAGGTCTATTGTGGTCTTCGATGGCTGGGGCAATGAAGCCAGAGGCTTTGGCCTCCCAGCAGAGACGGCTGTGTGTGAACGTTACTGCGGACCTGCAGTAACAGATCCCCAGGAGGGCTGGGCCGGATAATGTCACAGATGCTGGTTCCCAAACCTGGGACAAACAGCTAACTGAGGTGCCTATTTAACGAATAAAAGTGGACCTGGCTGCCAGGTTCTCCCAGCATTCCTCAGTCCCTACAGGGTATGGCTGGCACACCCTGCTCTCCCTGAGCTCTCTAGTCCAGAGGCTGGGCTGCCCTTGCCCCAGCTGCCCTTCCCTATGTAATCAACCATTTTGGTTCCCCGCCCTTTTGTCTACCTGCATTTTCCTGGCTCCCTCCTCCTCTCCTCCCCGCTCTCCTCACATGGCCTGAATCAGGGTCGCGTTCACTCTGAACTCTCTTCCACCTTTGACTATGTTCTCCATCTGTCTACTGTAAACTTTCTCCTCCACCATACCTAGGAGCAGCCATGTCCTTCCTTTTTTTTCTTTGTTTCATTCAACAGGAAGAGACAGCTTTGTCTAGTTTCTGATCCAGGTGATCTTCCAAGAACCTACTCAGGGCTTCGGGCTATTAAGAACTATCAACTTTCCTTTTTTTTTTTTTAATTGGGCCAATATTTACACTGCAAAATAGACCATTTTGTGGCATATATGGATATATACATATATAGTGAATATATATATATATATCTCTGGTGCAGAGGACTGAACCCTGGGCCTTGTGCATGTTGTGCAAGTGGTCTAGCAATGAGCCACATCTCGAGCCCAAATCAACCACTTTAAAGTGAAAACTCATTAGCATTTAGTTCATGCCCCACTTTATCCCAACCTCCACATCCTTCTAGTTCCCTAAACAAAGGCCCATGCTCACTAAGCCATCATTCCCGTTATTCCCTCTCACATCCTCACTCCCAGCTTCTCACAACTCCTAAGCTACTTCCAGCCATTCTGGATTTACCTGCTTTGGATATTTCATACAATACAACCTCCTATATTTCACTGTTTTTGTTTAGTATATTTTGAGCATATATCACTACTTCATTCCTTTTTTATGGTCAAGTAATATTCCATGGTATGGATATACCACAGTATGTTTATCAATTTATCCACTCAAATACCACGTCACATTACTGCTAGCAAAGTATAAGAATTTGAACTTCTCTATATCCTTACCAACACTTGTTTTCTTTAATAAATTACAACTCTTCCTACATGACATACAGTAGTATTTCACGGTGACTTTGACTTGCATTTCCCTGACGACTCATGATGTCGAGGACTGTGATGCTGATTTCGATTGTCGACTTGGCAGGATCTGGAGTCACCTGAGAAGAGACTCTCAATGAGGAACGGTCTAGATCAGCTCGGCCTGTGGGCCTATCCATAAGGGATTGTCTTAATTGGGTCAACCGAGGGAAGAACACTCACCGAGAATATGGATGGCATTGCTTCCTGGGCTGGGCTCTGGATGGCATTGCTTCCTGGCTGTGGGTGAAATGACCTGCAGCCTCGGCCTCCTGCTGCAGGGAATGGGACGTTAAGCCAAATGCACCCTTCTTTCCTTCAGTTGCTTTCCCGAGACTATTTTATCACAGGAAAAGAAACTAGGACGGAAGCTGATATGAAGTGAGGAACCTGAGCATGTGATTCTTTGGCCTCTCAAGCTGTTTCGTGTCTGGAATGTGGCAGAACTTGATAGTCGGTGTCAGAAAAGTCTTGGTGTACTGGTGCAGAGCTTAACAAGCTTGAGTCACTGTGTGGGTGCTGGGAATTGAACTCAGGACCTCTGGAAGAGCGGCCAAGGCTGTCAACCACTGAGCCATCTCTCCAGTTCCTGGTGGGAGCTTGAGCTACAGTGTAGGTGCTGAGAGGAATGCAGACTGGAGGCCTGACTGTTGTGCTCCCATCTTGAGAACTTGAGCAAAGACGGATTTAAAGATGATAGGTTGACTTACAAGGATGTGTCAAGGCAGCATCCTTGCAGGCTGGTGAGGAAGGTGCAGCCGGAGCTGAGAAACCAGTCAGCACCACCAGAGAGGCATCTCCTGCACTGCCCGGGGAGAGGGGGGCTTGGAGACTGTCCTGAGGGCGAAACTGCACACGTCACAGCCTCCATTTCAAGCGGGCAGCAGAACTTGGCAGCGTGGTCCATGTGCAGCTCTCTCAGGAGGTGGGAAAGATACAGGCTTAGAGTGCAACCGAGGCCAGGAAACGTGTGGTTGGGTCTGGACACCTACAAGGAGGCCTCAGGAGGCCACTGTGTGATGTTGTGAAGGTGAAATCTGGGTGTCAGCAGTGACTCCAGGAACGCTGGGGGTGCCAGAGCTGCGGGACATCTGCTGAGGAGAGGGGCAAGCTTGGAGCACAGTTAGTCCCAAAGAGTTGCACGCTACAAGTCACAGAGCTGCAGGAGAGGGATGTTACCTGGGACGGTTAGAGCTAGGATATTCTGTCAGCAGGGACACGTATTTTTCCGGGTGTACTTGATTTTGGACACCAAGCGTCACCAGCAAGCATACAGGGTTCTACGGTTTGCTTTCCACATTCAGTCAGGAGCTTACTCCTGTAAGTCATGGATTAATGGCACTGGGAGGTAGGAACTGGCCAGATGGTTGAGTGGGTAAAGGGGCTTGCAGCTGAGGTTAGGACCTGAATTTAGCTCCCCAAATCTGCATGGTAGAGGTTGAAAGTCAGCTCCTAAGGGCTGTTCCCTGACTTCCATCCACATGCGTGAGAGTACACGTGCATCCCTGCCAATAATCACAATATATGTACATATATAATTAAATATGTAAGTAAATAAATTATACACACCCACACATATAACATTTTTAAAGGGTAAGAACTTAGCCTAACTTCAAAATGTGTGAAGGCCAGGCCTAGGAAGGTACCACACGTAGAAAGGCCATCAGGATGGTGATGCATGATTGAATTTCGGTGGCTTTCTAAGAGGAGGGACGGAGACCAGACACCAACACACAGAGAAAAACATAGGCAACTTCTGTCACAATGAAATCAGCAGGGGCCTCACTAAAGCCGGGGCCATGCTTAGTCCCCCAGACCGGGAGCTAAATAAACCTCTTTTCCTTGTAAGGAAGCCTGCCTCAGGTTACAAAATGAAAACAAGTAACATACAGATCTTACTTTAGATTCTATGCTTATTATTGTGGGAGGAAACACTATCAAAAAATTGCAATGAGGTCTGAAGAATCAGGGCGGGATGACCCCCCTCATGGTGGGAAGGGCCACCAAATCGGGGCGGGATGACCCCCTCATGGTGGGAAGGGCCACCATGTGGCCTCTGTAGAACCTCTTGGGAGTTCATTGCCTTTTCCTGGGACTGCTGACGTGGATCCCAGCCAACCAATTCTGCAAGTTTTAGCTCGTGATTCCCTTTGGGATTTCAACAGCTGAGTGAGGAAGAATGGGAGAAGCCAAGGGAAGCAGGAGCCCAGTGGAGGAGAGTCTCTGGGTGAGGTGAGTAAGGGGGAGGAGGTGAGTGAGGCAGGAAGAGATATGGTGGCCTTTCTTGATGGCCTCCTGTGG